CTCTCTCTCTCTCTCTCTCTCTCTCTCTCTCTCTCTCTCTCTCTCTCTCTCTCTCTCTCTCTCTCTCTCACACACACACACACTCACTCACACACACACACACACACACACACACACGACACCATGAATCGGAATCGTCTTATTTTTCGACTCTGCACGTCCTGCCCCCCCCCCCCCCCTTTCCTCCTGCGCCCGGCGCCGCTCCTGCCGTATTCAACACATGTTCCCGCAGCCAGCTACTTTCCCACAACTTGCCGCCGGCCCATGAAGGGCCATGCAGTGGGAAGGGGCGCCCCTCAGGGCCTCGGAGGGGCAGCGGGGTAGATTAGGATGTGGGGAGAGGGAGCCGGGATTAGGGGAGTGGCGAGCGGGAAAGGGGAGGAGGAGGGGGGAGGGCTGTTGGGGGTACGGCTGATCCGTGACACAAGTTACAATAAGTGGGAAAGGTTAAGTGTTAAGGTTATGCGGTACCGACTGCCTACCACCGGCCGCTGCTTGGTCTCCCTCGGCTTGGCTGACGGCGGTCCTTTAGCGGGGTGGCGTGGCGGGGCTTGGCGGGGCGTGGTGGGGCTTGGCGGGGCCTTGAAATGGCATCTGTGCCCATCCGGTTTGGGGAGCGCGGGAGGGGGCAGGGAGGGGTGTGGGTGGGCCCGCAGAACAAAACTTACAATTGCACAAGTTTGGCTGCTAGCTGCCTTCTGAGCCGCTAAAGTAGCTGCTACTTTTTGCCTAATGCCACAGCGGCAGGCTGTGAGTGAGGACTGCAGAGCGCGAGGGGTGTAAAAGAGTCGCTCACAAATTACGTCAGTTTAACGGGCAGGCTACTTTTTTTCACCGCGGTGCGTCATCATTTCAATTCAAAAGAAGTGATCTTTACTCCGCGCGATGAATGTATACCTCGAAGGTAATATTTTTCTAATAGGATAACTTTTTTCTAGCACGTAAAGTCTGCTAAGTTCTCTAAGCAAGATACAAGTGCCGAAAAAAGTACCCGAATCTCTGGTGATCTTTTTTTGTTGTCTATTGCTCCCAAGAACTATAACTGAAGGGCGACCATCGAGGAAGAGGAGGAGGAGGGACGAGGACGAGGAAGACGGATGGATTGTGACACATTGTGGCTGCTCAAAGGGTCCTGAGGGGGACCTGAAGGGCTGAAGAGGCACCGCCGTATGACCAGCTAATGAGGCCCCCTATACTCGTCTAATACTTGAGTGTCAAGCGTGGCTCACAGCGATCTGTGTGTACGAGGGGGCGGCGCAGGGTCGGGAGGGGAAAGGGGGAGGCCGGGGAGTTTGTCTCATTTGCATGGTTTGTCTCTCCACTTGTACCAACTTCCGGGCCCCGCCCTCGCCTCCCCCGTCAGCCCTGCGGCCTCCGCCTGCCTCCGCCCCACAGCGGCTGTTTACCGCACACCGTTGTGACCCCCCGTCATCAGGAAGCTTTCCACTCAAGGCCACAAGTGCATCGCCCCCTCCGCTCCCCGTCCCCCAAGGCCTGGGGCCGCCACAAGCAGGGTGAAAAATAAAATCAAACTAGACAAATGAACGCTGACCGCGTAGGGAAGGCGTTTGTGTGTAATTTATTTGTTAAAAATTTGTATGTATTTCACTGTTGTTCCCGGTCGTTGTCTTTGCTGCTATGACTTTGGATCCCAGATTACTCTTAGTATCTTGTTTTTTTGTTTTTCATGTCCGTTTTTTACAAGAAAATTATTGAAAAAGGCCCTGTCCGTTTCACATTATTTGAAAAAAAAAAAAACATGCAGAAAATCACCCTTCACTATGGGCTGGCAGGACATCTCAGGTCTGGGTGTTTTGGTTTATCTACCTCACCTTAAGTGACGACGATGCTACGATTGCCGCCCGACGCGCCCCTCCTCGCGCGCGCAGCGCAGGGTGTTTAGGGCGAGGGGCTGCCGACGCCCCTCCTGTTTACACTCGAAAGTTATTCCAATAAAAGTTGCGTCGCCCGGTGACAACTGATCAAAGTGTCGTATGGAGGTTAGCGGGGGGCTCCACCACCGCCAGACGTCTGGAGCAGGGTGGGGCGGGCGGGGAAGTACAGAGGCGATAACTCAATAACGCGCCGACTCTTCCTCTGCCCCGGGTCGGGCTGCAGGAGAAAGTGACAGCCAGCACCGTCGGAGAGTAAACGTCGTCGAGGCGCATGTGTGTGTGTGTGTGTGTGTGTGTGTGTGTGTGTGTGTGTGAGAGAGAGAGAGAGAGAGAGAGATACAGGTGAATGCCTGGTCTCAACACTCCCCTGCCCCCCTTCTCCTCGCACCGGATATTATTTCGCGACCTACCGTCTGTCCGGACGCCCGCGCGCGTATGTGTGTGTGTGCGTGTGTGTGTGTGTGAGAGAGAGAGAGAGAGAGAGAGAGAGAGGGAGGGAGAGAGAAGAGTATGTATGTGTGGCCCGACGCAGCAGAAGCAGCGCTGCTGCCGGAAGCGCACGGCATATTGTCAGCTTCCGAACCCACATTATTCACCTCTCTCCCCCACCGGCCGTGTTCCCGGATACCCCTTCCCTCCCCACCACCACCACCACTCTATTTCTCTCTCGCTCCCACATTTCACGTCTCGCATCACCTGCTGTGTGCAACACGACACAGAAACTGCACCAACATTATTTTTGTTTCGTAGTTTTGAGAAGAAGTTATCCACACACTCTGAGTGTTTGGTCATTGTTCCTTTTTTTCAGCCCGCCCTTTTGCTTTTTTTTTAAAAAAAATCGGTATGCTTCTTTTCTTCCCATACGCGGGGACTAATTTGGACTGACCCACTCCCGTCTGCAGGTAGCGTGGATGCACTTCGAGCAGTCGGCCATCCTCACGGTGCACACGCACGTCATCACGCGCAACCCGCGCATCAGCGTGTCGCACGACAACCTGCGCACGTGGTTCCTGCACATCCGGGACGTGCAGAAGGAGGACCGCGGCCGCTACATGTGCCAGATCAACACGGCCAACGCCAAGACCCAGATCGGCTACCTGCACGTCGTGGGTAAGTCTGGATGGTTCCACAAACCCAAAACAGCAGAAACTGGAAATCAAGTGCATAAAAGAAAAAACCACAGTGATGTAAGTAATTTTAAGAAAACACATTTGATTTCAAGTACCTGCCTTTTTGGTTGTCTTTTGTGTACAGCTGTAAATTTTCATATTTTTTGATGGGTGTGAAACCCTCAGAAAAAAATGAAAACTTTTGCGGTTTTTTCAATCTTGTACACTAAAATTCTAAAAGCATGCGGTGTGGGAGGTGCAGGGCCCGGTGCCAGCCCTCTATGGCAGGGGGCGGGCTCGGGACCGCGGCCCGGCCCAGCGCGCGGCGCGGTGCGGAGGGAGGGGTGACGGGGATCAGACGTAAATGCATTTCCGTTGTCGCTTCCGGATCACGCCAGCGGATGTGGAACTGCACCGGCGCGCACAGGCGGCGCATTTGGGTGCGGCGGGGTGGGAGGCTTTGGTCCACGGTAAACTGATGTGTTTAGTTTTAGTCTTTGCCGCGCGCTGACGAATAGACGAGATTTTAACGTAATCTCCATGAGAGAGGTAAAAGGTGAAACGGATTTTATGATGAAAGCTGAGTCTAGAAAGATTGACAAAGCACAAGATTTACAACGAAATCAGAATCACGCTACAATTCTTTTCCTTTTATCGCTCTCGCGAAAAACACGCCGAGTGGCAGCGAATGTACACTGGATTTGGTCGCGACGGGTTTTGGGCGGATTTCGCCGAGAATCGCTTATCCCCTCGCCCGGGGCGGGATGCGATTTGGCACACACGGGCGGACCTGCGGAGCGGGCGCGGGAGCACTCGGAGCGTCTTGAATCAAATGAAGAGGCGGTCCTTTTAGCCGGACGTGCTCCGAGGCGCGCGGGGCACTCCGCCGGCCTCGGCCCGGTCGCCTGATTGAATACACGGTCCCTAAAGGGCCCTGGCCCGCTAAACGAGAGGTAAAGCGTAAGCAACGCGAAAGGGGCGCCTCTTACGGTCTCTTCATTTGGGGCCCGCGCCGCCCGCGCTGCCGGGCGCCGCCGCCTTGCGCGCCTGGCAGATAGGCAGCGCACGGGCACGGCTGCCACCGTGTTGCCTACCCCGGACTCCGCAGGGGACTCCCGGCAGCCAACGCTGCCCAGCCGTAGGAAAAACGAGGTCGAGAGCGAAAACTTAAATAAGCGGAAGTAGGGGGATATGATTCCCGGCTGGGTCCTCGTCGAAAATGTTTGTCATCGCTGACGGAACCGACTTAAGTGTGTGTGGCGTAGGCGAGGGCGTAGGCCCAGTTCGGGCCTAGTTGCCATTCAATGAAGACAATTCCAGGGGGCACACACACAAACTTAACCATTGTTGGAATTTTTGCTGTTTAAATCTCACCTACCACCATCGTCGCAAATTTATAAATAAAATAAAGTTTAGTAATCAATTTAGCTAGTTTTAACGCTAAAAATTAATTTGGATTTTAAGTTATCCTATGTTGGTTTTTGGCTTTTTTAATGCTGTAACTCTTTACGTGATATAAATACAAAAAATTCCACAAAACTATAAAGTTGCAGAGGTCTTCAAAAATTCTTTTCATTTTCGGCCGCACCCCTTCTGGGGCATCAGCGAGGCGCGGAGCGTATTGAGGGGCCGTTCCGGTTGATAGTCGAGCTCAGTCCGGTCCGGAGGCGCGAGCGCGTTCCGGCTGACCGGACCCAGACCGCGCCCCGCTCAGCTCGCCCATAAAAGCGAATCGCCGGACAATATAAGACGCGCATGTGTATAGCGCGTCTTCCATATTAGGGACAAGAAATGGAAAAGAAATCTCAAAGTTTCCGCGAGACATAACGCGGGGGTAGAAAAACGAGCGGGACATTGCGCGCGCGGTATTTGAACCCGCCGCGGTCCGCTCGGGTATAACCAGGCGGGGTGGTGCGGGGTGGG